ATAAATATATACATGTATTCAAAATGGCTGATTTTGAATGCTGTTCCAGAGCAATATCTCTCAATATGGACAAGTACTTGTTTGACGATCAGATACAAATGTCAATCATTTTAATGTTAAAAAAATCATATTCCTGACATGGTTAATATTCCAGCTATTTCTATTAAACATAACTATATATCTTAAATTTGCTAACTAACGGGGACTGTGCCATGCATGGCTTGTTTTCGCTGGGTTTAAACTTCGCTGATTTACCATTTCAGGCATATGCAGTGGATTTTAAATTCACTGTTTTATCATTTAGATAATGTGTTTCTATGCTAAATTTGACATATTCACTGGGTATAAATTTTGCTAATTTACCATTTCAGGCAGTGGGTTTTAAATTCACGGTTTTATCATTTAGATAATGTGTTCTATGCTCAATTTTACATATTCGCTGGGTTTTAATTTAGCGCATTTTCCAGTCAGTGAAATAAGCAAAATTAAAAACCAGTGAATAATTAACTCCTTTACAGTATTTGTTTGTTTAGTTACATGTAAGTAGTACATGCGCTAATAAATGTGTGAGTCAGATTTTAATAATTCAGTATTCAATAAATAGTTTTTGGTTTATGTGTCCTGACATCTTAGAAATGCACCTACAATAGAACAAATACAGTATGTGTTATTATTGGATGGACAGTTATATGCAAAGCTATATTAACAGCAAGTTGAATCAATAACCATATATAAATGGTTTGCTTAAATGAAAACCAACAGTCTGTCTGCTCACTCTGGGAATAGATAAGAGTTTAAATTACGTCTCAGGAATGCTACCACATAAATATACTATAATTTGTCTGTATCTATTTTTATAATGATTGTGTTAGAAGATTAGCACCAGGTGCAACTATGTTATTTTAATAAAATGTGTACTACTGGTAGTTTGTTTATTATAAGTTCCTTGCTTGATATGGCACATGTGCATAACACTATAATGTTATCCCCATATCACATGCTGGATTACATGCAACCTTGTAGATAATGCTGTTCACATACTCCACGAGGATAAACCAGCTCTATCAAATTTATGAATGGCAAGGTCTACATTAATTAGACCCGCCCCAGACAGGAAGATTTAAGCTATGATAGGTAATTACAGAAATTGATCATTCCTGTAATCTGGGGAATACAGATTTGAGATAGAATCTAGGGAAAATCTCACAATAGATTGATCTTTAATTAAATCAGTCTATATCGGTTACTCAACCTGTACATATGGCAATGTACTGTAAATCGCTTAATTTTCTCTGCTTGAAATTTTTGTAATTTGATGATTTTATGGCATTTATGAAGACGAAATTTCATGAAAGTTGCTGACACTCCATGTTGTAGGACCCCAGAAAAATTACCTACCTGCTACCTTCTTAACTTTCATGATTCGATTCTCACTGATTCGCAAAATTTGTGTAAATTTGTCTCTTATTGTCTCTCAAGCGGTTTAAATTATATATATCTCCTGAACGTTTGACATTAGAAGAAAACAATGGATGTACAGTAACCAGTTAAGCCTAATCACACAACAAATTTACTTTGTGGATTAAAATTACAATAGATAACAAAAAATAGATTAACTTTGTAAACAACATAAACAATAGTGTCCCATGACTCTTTGGTGCAATCCCTGGGCTTGGAAGGTTCCCCTTTAACAGGTTATGTAAAGGGGTTAATTATTCACTGGGTTTTAATTTGGCTTATTTCGCTGACTGGGAAATGCGCTAAATTAAAACCCAGTGAATATGTAAAATTTAGCATAGAACACATTGTCTAAATGATAAAACCGTGAATTTAAAACCCACTGTATATGCCTGAAATGGTAAATCAGTGAAATTTAAACTATTACACTTGTGTAGGTTGTGTTAATTTGTGATTTGATAAGATTTTTTTTAATTGAAGAGCATTTTATCTAAAATCCTAAAACGATAAATGTGTTACAAAATCATTTTTCATAGATGAATAGGTCTTAACAGGTATATAAGGATCATGCATGCTGCATTATGAGTGCTGTAAAGCAATATACAATAACCATGGAGTTAAAAGACAGACTGTCTTTTACCTCCATGCAATAACAAACCCATAGACTCTTAAGTGAATAAAAGAAGATGCAAGTGTTTTGAAAGCTGGAGACTTTAATGTCTCATATGAGATGGTGATTTACCCAAACACACATGATGCTTTGCTAGTATTTCTCCAAATTTACAATTAGCAAAGTAGGTTTATCATTTTAATATGCTGTGACGCTGGCATACCCCTTTTTATTAGCTCCGCTGTCGACTTTGTCGAGCGGAGCTTATCATATGAGTGATTGTCCGTCGTCGGCGTCCGGCGTCCGTCGTCCGTGTCAATGTTTTACTTTTTCGACTTCTTCTTGAAAACTACAAGCCTGAATGCTTTGATACTTGGTGTATATGTACCTTGAGTAGACCTCTCTTAGGTTTGTTCATTTCATGTTGATATCTTCAATTCCTTAATTTTGGTGAATATTTTTGGTAAAAAGTGATATTTTCGACTTCTTGTTAAAAACCGCAAGTGCAAATGTTTTGATATTAAATATATAGGTACTACATGTGGACCTCTCTCAGATTTGTTCATTTTGTAATGATATCTTTAATTCTCTAATTTTGGTGAATATTTTTGTTATTTTTGGTGAAAAGTGATATTTTCGACTTCTTGTTAAAAACCGCAAGTCCAATTGCTTTGATACTACATATATAGGTACTACATGTGGACCTCTCTCAGATTTGTTCATTTCGTGATGATATCTTCAATTCTCTATTTTTGGTGAATATTTTTGTCATTTTTGGTAAAAAGTGATATTTTCGACTTCTTGTTAAAAACCGCAAGTCTGATTGCTTTGATATTACATATATAGGTACTACATGTGGACCTCTCTCAGATTTGTTCATTTCGTGATGATATCTTCAATTCTCTAATTTTGGTGAATATTTTTGGAATTTTTGGTAAAAAGTGATATTTTCTACTTCTTGTTAAAACCGCAAGTGCAATTGCTTT